GCTCTCTTATATCTTGCAGGGAATCAAGCCTAGAACATTTGAAGAACTATCCAGTCGTGCTCACGACATGGAATTGAGTATTGAAGCCAATGGAGGGCTCGGCATGTCAAGTATCCCTAGCTCATCCAAGGCACCTGTAAAACAAGAATTCAAGAAAGGGGGAAAGCCCTTCCCGAAACCAGAAAAGAAAGAGGCCATGAACGTAAAAACAGCACCAATGCGGGTTTTCGCCAAAGTAACTGAAAATCCCAGGCTAAGGTCATTTTCCCGCCCATCTCGGGGTACTAGAATCATTGAAGAGATGCAGCAAAAACAGTATCCGTTCTTGGACTCTGATGTGTCACCCATGTTTGATGAATTGTTAAAGCTTAAGTTGATTGAATTACCGGAGATGAAGCGTCCCGAAGAAGCTTCTAAGGCGGACGACCCCAACTATTGCAAGTATCATCGTCTCCTCGGACACCCGATTGAAAAATGCTTCGTCTTTAAAGATAAGGTGGTGAGACTTGCTCGTGATGGAAAGATTGAGCTGGCTGATGCAACTGCCAGCACCAACCAAATTTCATGCGGAAGGTTCGCTCCGTTAGTTGAGGAGAGTGATGAAGAGGATGGGGGCAAGCAATACAAACGCCCGCTTCCATTTATTGTGAAACATGCTACTAGGCAACAACCAGAATTACCACAGGTCAATCCGGTATGCGAGAAGGATTGGGTAATTGTTACCCGCAAAAAACAAAGGAACAATGCTGGACATGTTAGATCTTTGAAGAGAATAACGAAGCAATGGGTTGAGAGAAAGCCAGCAAGGGACCTCGCCTATGGCACAAAGATGAGAGGACGTCCCGGCACGTCTCGAACACCAGTTGCCCTGGCTCAATACATGCCGAAGATGCTTCCTCCGCATGGGACGAATATTCTTGGAACTCGCTTGAGTATTAAAGAGAGACATGTTGAAGAGGAGGAATGTTCATTCCCCGTGATTGAGGGAGGTGACGAGGTTCAAGTCCACAAAGCCGCGTCTTATACCGCCGAGATAACTTTTAAGGATGAGGATCTATTGCTTGGTGGTACACCACATAATCGCCCGTTGTTCGTTGAAGGTTATGCTCGTGAGCAAAAGATTAAAAGGATTTTGATTGATCAAGGGTCGGCTGTGAACATTCTGTCACTCCGAGCTATGAAAGGACTTGGCATCTCCACCGATGAGCTCTCTCAAAGCCGCTTAATGATCCAAGGATTTAATCAAGGCGGACAAAGAGCCCTGGGTACCATCAGACTCGACCTCAGGATCGGGACACTAAACTCAAGCACATTATGTTATGTAATAGATGCAAGGACGTCGTACAACTTGCTGCTGGGCCGGCCTTGGATACATGAGAATGGAGTAGTTCCCTCATCCTGGCACCAATGCCTCATGTTTGAAAAAGGCGGGGTGATAGAAAATGTAGTCGCTAATGAAACTCCCTTCATTGAAGCAGAATCATACTTTGCAGATGCAAAGTTTTACTTGAAGAAACAAGTTGTAGAGGAGGCTGAGCAAAGCAATGTTGACACACCTCTTGATCCAAAGTGGAAAGGCAAGCAAGTTGTAGACCAAGCTCATCGCGACAAGGAACTTGTTTTCCCACTCGCAAGGATTGAAACATTAAAGGCAGCATCTCCAGTTAAACCGCTTGAAGATGAAGCTCAAGTTGCGGCAAGTCAAACAGTGCCCGCTAAGCGCACTGGCGGCTTCGACCCTAATGCATATAAACTTCTATTCAAAGCTGGATATGATCCCAAAGAGCCACAAAAGCTGGGGAAGCTCATCCCAGAAGCTGGTGGTAAAGGCAAGTCAAATCAGCAGGAGCCGCATGAACGGAAAGGATTGGGTTATGTTCCCCCTAAGCCAGTGCGAATATTCATAAACAGAGCTACAAGTAATTGCATCACTTCTACAGATGAGGAGGAAGGTAACAAGAAGCAGTCTGTTTTTGATAGAATCGGAGATGTAGAATCACGACAATCAGTCTTCCGCAGACTTGGGCCGAATCCCAAACCGGCTAAGAGAAAATCAGTACATGACAGAATTGGGCCTACTCAGAGTTCGAAGGAGCAGACCAACCCTCCTACTGAAATGGAACCCTCAAAAAGGCTCAGGAGTGCCGTTCCATCTCGCATGAGAAGAGAAGTTAATATCCATGTCTCGTGTGGTGAAGTTTTGAAGGTCCAACCAAGAACCATTGTACACACCCAAGTGCAAGAAAGAAGTCAAGAAAACATTGATTTAAGTTGCGAGGCAACACCAAGTCAAGATGAGATGGCATCGTCATTTCATATAACTTTATACGATGAGATTCCAACCGAGGGTGAAGATGCAGAGGACGCGCCTCAAGAGCTAGAAGAAGGGGTACAAGCCGCAGTGGACGAACTAAAAGAGGTGGATCTAGGAACTCCTGAAAGTCCTCGACCTATCTTCATTAGTTCACTCCTTTCCAACGAAGATGAAGAAATATATGTCACACTTTTGAAAGAATATATCGATGTATTTGCATGGACATACAAGGAGATGCCAGGGTTGGACCCAAAGATAGCCGTGCACCGCTTGGCAGTAAAAAAGGGGTGTCGCCCGATTAAGCAAACTCAACGGCGCTTCCGCCCCGAGCCCATTCCCTCAATCGAAGCAGAAGTCAACAAGCTTATAGAGGCTGGTTTCATTCGCGAAGTTAAATACCCAACTTGGATATCCAGCATTGTGCCTGTGCGCAAGAAGAATGGCCAGATCCGTGTGTGCGTAGACTTTCGAGATCTTAATGTTGCATGCCCGAAAGATGACTTCCCTCTCCCTATCACAGAGTTAATGATAGATGCTGTAACTGGACACGAGATCATGTCATTCATGGATGGCTCATCCGGTTACAATCAAATCCGCATGGCGCCAGAAGATGAGGAGTTTACAGCGTTTCGTACGCCAAAAGGTATCTACTGCTACAAAGTGATGCCCTTTGGTCTGAAAAATGCAGGTGCTACATACCAAAGGGCCATGCAGACTATATTTGACGACATGCTGCATAAAATGGTGGAATGTTACGTAGACGACTTGGTGGTGAAGTCGAAACTTCGCACAGATCACATGATGCATCTAAGACAAGTATTTGACCGCTTGCGGAAGTTTCAACTCAAAATGAACCCCCTGAAATGTGCTTTTGGGGTTGCTGCTGGCAAATTCCTTGGGTTTACTATTCGACATAGGGGCATTGAGATCGAACAAGCAAAGATCGACGCTATAATGAAGATGCCTGAGCCAAAGAACCTTCATGAGCTTAAAAGCTTGCAAGGGAAGTTGGCTTATATAAGAAGATTCATATCAAACCTAGCAGGAAGATGTCAGCCCTTTAGCCGATTAATGAAGAAGGGTGTCCCGTTTGTATGGGACGAGGCCTGCAAGAATGCATTTCAAAGCATCAAGTCCTATTTAATGAAGCCGCCTGTGTTAACTGCTCCAATTCCAGGACGCTCGCTGATCCTTTACATCTCCGCCCAAGAAAGCTCGGTGGGTGCTTTACTTGCACAAGAGAATGATAACGGGAAAGAAAATGCCCTTTATTATTTAAGTAGAATGATGACGCCAAATGAGCTCAAATATCTGCCAATTGAGAAGTTGTGTCTGGCCCTTGTATTCGCTATCAGGAAGCTCAAGCATTATTTCGAAGCGCATACAATTCGACTAGTTTCCAGGGCAAACCCAGTGAAGTATGTCATGTCAAAGGTTGTTCTTTCCGATCGACTTGCTAGGTGGTACTTATTATTTCAACAGTTTGAGATCACTTATGTACCACAGAAGTCCATCAAGGGGCAAGCCTTAGCAGATTTCCTAGCTGACCATCCAATTCCTGCCGAATGGGAGCTGTCCAGTGACCTACCTGATGAGGACGTGCTTGTGGTCAAAGTTTTACCTCCATGGAAGATGTACTTTGATGGAGCGGCACACAAAGAGGGGGCAGGCGCTGGAGTTGTCTTTGTTACGCCTGAAAGGGAAGTGCTTCCTTATTCATTTACCTTGACAGAGCGCTGCTCGAATAATGTTGCCGAGTATCAGGCACTCATTTTGGGACTTGAAATTGCAGCCGATATGAAGCAACGAAGGGTTAACATATACGGGGACTCCAAACTAATCATCAACCAAGTACTTGGGGTTTACGAAGTAAAAAAGCCTGAGTTGATCCCATACAACAGTTATGCAAAGACGCTCCTGCATTGGCTAGGAGATGCTACGATGGAGCACATTCCAAGGAAACATAATAAGCAAGCCGATGCCTTAGCTGATTTGGCTTCAACTATATCACATCCTATAGATGAGGCTCGGCTACGAGTATGCCAAAGATGGGTAGTCCCTCTAGGGCTGTGCAACGGACGGATCGGATCGGATCGGACTGGTTTTCCGTTCATCCGATCGGATTGCGGATTAAAATTTTGAAGTCCTATCCGTCCGTTTTGAAACTAAAACCCTATCGGATATGCTATGTCGGATTTCGGACTACTCGGATCGGATGTCGGACCTAATTCGGATTTGGAAAAGTTCATTGATAATTGAAAATAAAAAACTGAAAAAACATAATAATGATAATATGATTAACAAAATAAGTAATAACTAATAAATTAACAAACTAAAACATGCAAGTGATGCAACAACTTAATAATGGACAGTTTGGAGAGCAAAATAATTCAAGTTTACAAACCAAAGTGCAAAAAGTAAACGAATACATAAAGAATATAAGTTTAAGTGTTTAACTTCCAAAACATTACAAATTTGAAGTTAATCACTTAAACAGAACTTCAGCAAAACAGCAAGTCAGCAATCATTCAAGTAATCCAGTCTAGGCCTTTTCATCAAATCATCAATCACCATTCACCATTTCTACACGACTACACTTCTTCCTGTTAATATGAAAACTTAACAGAATATTAGATTATTAGACAACCTATATAGTCAACAGCTAACTAAGTAGGGGCATTAGGCT